GAGAGAGAGAGAGAGAGAGAGAGAGAGAGAGAGAGAGAGAGAGAGAGAGAGAGAGAGAGAGAGAGAGAGAGAAGGTCCCTCATATGTCCGGAATGTTGTCATATTGTTGCTTTCGCAGGCTGATGTGGGCGACAGGGAGGCGAAACTTGGTGAGGTGCAGTCTGCTTCTCGTGCTGATGTTGAAGAGAGGGAGGCAGCTTTTGAGGAACTAAAAGCACAGCTCAGTGATGTGGAACGGGCACAGGTACAGCCACAGAAATGCAGTATGTGTTGTCTTTTTCAGATCCTCATTTGTTGATCTCCATTTTTGGGATCCACCTTTCAGGGTGCCCCCGTTTTCCGATCCCCTTTTTGGGAAGGCCCCACTTTTTGGGGGTCCCCCTTTTTTCGATACGCCTTTTTGGTACCCCACTTTTGGGCGTCCCCCTTTTTAGGATGCCCCTTTCTTGGATCTCCCGTCTGCATATCCTCCTTTCCCTTTTCTTGGAACCGCCTTTTAAGGGGTCCCCCCTTTTGGTGTCCTGCCTTTTCGGTGTCCCGTGTCAAATCCAAAACTTCATGCCCCGAAAATAAATGGTGTTCAGTCTTTACACATTGCCAACTGCTCCTGCAGCATGCTTGCCAATGGTAGCAACAGCATATTGCCCATGATCCCACCTTGTCCTGATGATTACAACAGGAGTGGACAAGCGTCTTCTTCTCCCCCTCCCTCTTCTGGCAAAGTAATCATCGTCGTCATCATCACAACCATGAAGGGCAGTGCCATCGACGATTAACTTTTTTCTTGCCAGAGCTTAGTCATCTACTTCTTTTTCTTCTTCTTCTTCTTCTTCTTCTTCTTCTTCTTCTTCTTCTTCCTCCTCACATCATGGTCATCATGCAGAAGGGATCATCGAGGCATGCAATCGTTTTCCATTTTTATAAGTTTCAACTTTTAAACAGTTCTTTATCGACATTTTGCTTTCCAACATTTTTGGGTTTCCAACTCTCATCCTTCCTTTTCTTTTTCCCCCTCCTCTTCCTCCTTGGACCAGAATTTTCTCGCGCCGCGGTTCCAAGCAGATCATCTTCTTCCTCTTTGTCTTCTGCCTTCATATCGTAGCAGTCATGCCCTAGGGCCCATCAAGCCATCAAGCCATTAGCATGTCCATTGATCTCCCATTCCTAATACTTTCTATCCGGCTTTTGCTTCCGAACATTTTCAGGTTTCGAACCTTCAACCTCTGAGCGTCACTGCATTGCATGCACGAGTTCACCAGTGCAAGCGTCTTATCTTATATTTCTTTCTTTCTTTCTTTCTTTCTTTCTTTCTTTTTTTTTCTTTTTTTTTTTAAATAACTAATCTATGTTCTTCTCTCAATCCTATCTATGTATATTATTCTGCATCTATTTCATCTATCTCATCCTCTCACTACCCTATAGATAGGGTAGCGTCTTAACTTTTGGGAAGGTCACTGCAGCACTGATGCCGCTACTTCTTTCAGCTGTGGAAAAAGAAAGCACAGCTACCTTAGAATTCAATTTGAAAAACAAGAAGAGCCAGTGCGGCCCCGCCCGTGCCAAAAAGGGGTAAACATACTAAACAATGACTATGGGATTAAATCTCGTTTGGGTGAAACGCGAAATAGAGTTTAGGTGTTTGAATTGAAAAATCACTTATATGTACAGAGCACGAAAGAAGCACATGATACGTCATCAACAGGAATAAAAAATATAAGCAAGAAGAGCCAGCACGGGTCCGCCCGTGTGACGATGGGGTATTGATGGAGTTCAAATTAGTGTGTACTATGTAGCAAACAAATATTTGAAAGCCGTATGCACGTGCAATAAACATACACATTACAAAGTAGTAAAAAAACTTAAAAAAAGTACGCATGAGTTGAAAAGTCATTGCCATTATGTGGTATGTTAGGACAGGCTTCATTTTATTCTTCTTTTTATTTTTTGTGTTGGGGGGGGGGCGGGGGTCTGGGCTTGGGTTGTATGCTGGCAGGAGAAGGAGAAGGAGAAATGGCAGGTGGTGGTTGCAAAATTGAAGAAGAAGATCGATGGAGCTGAAAAGCTGCGCAAACAACAGGAGATCACATTGAACGATGCACGAGGTAGGTATCCGGTATTACATAGAACACTGAATGCTCAATGTTTTTTTTTTTTTTTTTTTTTTTTTTTTCCTGAATGCTCAATGCTGTTTGTCTCAGGGCTGGGCCGGCGACCGCTGCCAGCCCGGACCTGACCGGGCCAGATCGGTCGAGGCAGCCTAACTGGATTTCCAGTTGGTCCCAAATGAGCTAGGCTGGTCCCCGGGCCGCCCAGCGACCTGGTCGTCGCCAGGGGGGGGGGTAGGGGGGTAAGGGGCGGGCTCAACTGGGTACACTCATGCCCATGCTCCCTACTTGCAGGTAAATCCTCCAGCTGCCAAGCTTCTATCCTAGACTCGACCTAAAACACACACGAGTATTGATCTCTCACGGGGCGAGGGTCCCACTGGGTATGCTTGCCCCCAGGTAGGCCGGCAACCACTAACCACTTCCCCGCAAGGGGAGGTGCTTTTCCTCCAGGAGAGAATCAGTCCTCTGGACTGACACACAATCTCAGGCAGATCCAATTGCTGACTCAATTGCAAAAGATGACAATGAATTTGATCAGCAGCAGCAGCCTCTCCAAGATGTGGAAAGGTACTGGAACTCACAAAATTCAAGAACAACAATACAGGGCTTAGTGGGGCGAAGCACTTCACTGCTGAACGGTCCTTCATTGGCGCTCCTAGTTGCCACTACTTGCATGCAGGTACGTGTTTCCCCTTTATCCCCAACGGGCCTCTTCTTCTTCGGCCCTTGACACCAGGCCAACCCTAATCACCTGCTCGCCGGCCTTTTGCCTTGCGGGCGCCCAACTTCAGCGGATGCGGTGGGTTCCTGCTACGATGCCAATGCTATGAACCACTTCGACTCACACTCAAACACATGCACAACTGAGAGTTCACCCGAAGATTCACACCGAAGTCCAAGATGGGAACACCAGATTAGTGCGGCTTAAGAAACTTCAATAAATGGTTCATATTATACAAATTTTACAAATTCAGAGTTCAAGTTATCCAGCGCTCATCAGCGCAACAGCCAACAACCTCAGTCAGGTATGTAACTGAGCTCCCTCCTTATCTGACTCTCTTTCTCTCTCCCTCTCAATCATGGAGGGAGGCCGATCCCGTGATTGCATATTCGTCGGCGTCGAAGGCGCCTTTGTATCGCACAGCCTTGCTCTCCTCTCTCTCTCTCTCTCTCTCTCTCTCTCTCTCTCTCTCTCTCTCTCTCT